CCTCCCCCCTCTCTGTCCCCCCTCCCTCTCCCTCTCCCTCACTCCTTCCCTCTCTCTCCCCCTCTCTCCCCTCTCCCCTCCGTCTCTCCCTCTCTCCCCTCTCTCCTCTCTCTCCCCCTCTCCCCTCCCCCTCTCCCCTCCCTCTCTCCCCCTCTCTCTCTCTCCCTCCCTCTCTCTGTCCCCTCCCCTCCCTCTCTCTCCTCTCTCTCCCACCCCCCCTCTCTCCCCCTCCAGCTCTCTCTCCCCCCTCCTTCTCTCTCTCTCCCCCCCCACCCCCACCCCTCCAGCGCTCTGTTGGAGTGTCAGTCGGGACGATGAGCTCAAAGCCCTGATGTGGGTATTGAACCATCCGTTCCCGATACAGGAGTCTGAGCCACGACCTGTCACTGAGACTCTTTGCCCCCCTCTCAGCCGTTCCCCCCTCTCAGCCGCTCCCCCTCTCAGCCGCTCCCCCCTCTCAGCCGCTCCCCCTCTTCACTCCCCCCTCCTTACCCCCCCCTCAGCCCCCCTCCGCCCTCACCCCGCTACCCCCTCCTCACACCCCTCCTCAGCCCCCCTCCCCCCTGGTCTAATACCATGGCTCTCTTTTCTCTCTTAGCCGGCACGAACAAAAGGATTCCCGGGAAAAGCGGGATCTCGCCCATTCCTGAACCCCGGACTTCAGTGTCAGGTGGGCAATGGCCGGAGTGAGAGACAGCGCTGTGTGTGTGTGTGTGAGAGTGTGTGTGTGACAGCGCTCTGTGTGTGTGTGTGACAGTGCTCTGTGTGTGTGTGTGACAGCGCTCTGTGTGTGTGTGTGTGTGTGACAGCGCTCTGTGTGTGTGTTGTGACAGCGCTCTGTGTGTGTGTGACAGCGCTCTGTGTGTGTGAGAGTGTGTGACAGCGCTCTGTGTGTGTGTGAGAATGTGTGACAGCGCTCTGTGTGTGTGTGACAGCGCTCTGTGTGTGTGTGTGTGTGACAGCGCTCTGTGTGTGTGTGTGTGACAGCGCTCTGTGTGTGTGTGAGAGTGTGTGACAGCGCTCTGTGTGTGTGAGAGTGTGTGACAGCGCTCTGTGTGTGTGTGAGTGTGTGACAGCGCTCTGTGTGTGTGTGAGAGTGTGTGACAGCGCTCTGTGTGTGTGTGAGAGTGTGTGACACCCCTTAAATCCCAAACCCGGCCGCTCGACCGCAGGCGGCAGAAAACCATCCTCACGGTTCACCACCCGCTGTGGCTCGAGCTCTTCACACCTCCCACCACTCCCACACACACACACCCCCCACACACACATACCCCCCACACACACACCCCACACACACACACACCCCCCACACACACATACCCCCCACACACACACCCCACACACACACACACCCCACACAGGCCACACACACCCCCCCACACACACCCCACACACAGACCACACACACACCCCCACACACACACACCCCCCACACACACACACCCCTCACAGACCACACACACCCCCCCCCACACACACCACCCACACACACCCCACACACACACACCCCCCCACACACACCCCCCACACACACACCCCCCACACCCCCCCCCACACACCCCCCACACACACCCCCACACACACCCCACACACACACCCCACACACACACACCCCACACAGACCACACACACACCCCCACACACACACCCCACACACCCCACACACACACACACACCCCACACACCCCACACCCCACACACACCCCACACACACACACACACCCCACACACACACCCCACACACAGACCACACACACCCCCCCCCCACACACACACCACACACACGCCCCCACACACACCAACCCCCCCCACACCCCCCACACACACACCCCACACCCCCCCCCACACAACCCCGTCACAGCAAACACTGCACCACTCAAACATCATCCTATAGACACAGCCCCCCACACACACACCCCCCACACCCCCCCCACACCACACCCCCCACACACACACACCCCACAACCCTCCCCCACACACACACACCCCACACAAACACACCCCACACACCCCCCCACACACACACCCCACACCCCCCCCACACAACCCCGTCACAGCAAACACTGCACCACTCAAACATCATCCTATAGACACAGCCCCCCCCACACACACACCCCCCACACCCCCCCCACACCACCCCCCCACACACACCCCCCCCACAACCCTCCCCACACACACACACCCCACAACCCTCCCCCACACACACACACCCCACACACACCGCCCCCACACCCCCCCACACAAACACATCCACACACACCCCACAACCCCCCCCCACACACACACCCCACACACACCCCCCCCCCCCCCACACACACACACACACCTCACACACACATATCCCCACACACACAACCCCCAATCCTATTCTCCCCCCACACCCCCCACCTCCTCCGAGCCCCCCCTCAAGCCCCAATCATCACCTCTAACACCAAGCCACCCCCACCCCATCTCCTCTGAGCCCCCCCTCAAGATCATCTCCTCTAACACCAAGCCACCCGCCCCCCACCTCCTCCGAGCCCCCTCTAAAGCCCCCAATCATCACCTCGAACACCAAGCTTCATCCCTCTGCGCCATGTGTCGCCTAACCCCCCCCCCACCCATTCAGTCTCCCGCACCCACCCCACCCTCAGCTCCTACCAACCCCCATTCAGTCTCCCGCACCCACCCCACCCTCAGCTCCTACCATGGCCCCCATCCTACATTCATTTGTCCCCATCTCCCCTTCCTCCCTCTCATCAACCATCGCCACAATGAAACCCCCCACCCGCTGCCTCGAGCCCCTCCCCACCCGACTGCTGATCACTCAGCTCCCCCTCCTCTGCCCACCGCTGGCAGACACTACTAATCAGTCTCTATCCTCAGGATCAGTCGCACTCCCCTTCAAACCCGCGGTAATTACCCCCTCCTTAAAAAACCTACGCTCGATCCCTCCGACCTCGGCTACTCTCGCCCCAGCTCAACCCTGCCCTTCCTGTCCAAAGCGCGGCAACACGTTGCTGCCAACCAACTCCACGCACAACTCTCCCTCCACACCCGATCCCACCCCCGGCTTCCCACCCCCGGCTTCCCACCCCCGGCTTCCCACCCCCGGCTTCCCAACCCCGGCTTCCCACCCCCGGCTTCCCAACCCCGGCTTCCCAACCCCGGCTTCCCACCCCCGGCTTCCCACCCCCGGCTTCCCACCCCCGGCTTCCCAACCCCGGCTTCCCACCCCCGGCTTCCCAACCCGGCTTCCCAACCCCGGCTTCCCAACACCGGCTTCCCAACCCCGGCTTCCCAACCCCGGCTTCCCAACACCGGCTTCCCAACACCGGCTTCGCACCGCGGCTTCCGCCCTGACTACCGACAGCCACATGCTCACAGTGATCAGCAACACACACTCCACCCACCGCCTGTCCTCCACTGCCTATCCTCCTCCACCTCCTGTCCTCCACCTCCTGTCCTCCACCGCCTGTCTTCCTCCAACGCCTGTCAACCTCTACCGCCTCTCCTCCTCCAACACCTGTACTCCTCCACCACCTGTCCTGCTCCACTGCTTGTCCTCCTCCACCTCCTGTCCTCCTCCACCTCCTGTCCTCCACCGCCTGTCCTCCTCCACCTTCTGTCCTCAAACGCCTGTTCTCCTCCACCACCTGTACTCCACTGCCTGTCCTAATCCAACTCCTGTCCTCCAACACCTGTCGTCCTCCACCTCCTGTCCTCCACCACCCATCCTCCTCCACCGCCTGTCCTCCTCCACCGCCTGTCTTCCACCCCTGTCCTACTCCACTGCCTGTCCTCCACTGCCTATCCTCCTCCACCGCCTGTCCTCCTCCACCGCCTATCTTCCTCCACCGCCTGGCCTCCTCCACCACCTGTCCTCCACCGTCTGTCCTACTCCACCGCCTGTCCTCCACTGCCTATCCTCCACCACCGCCTGTCCCCCTCCACCACCCATCCTACTCCACCGCCTGTCCTCCACCGCCTGTCCTCCGCCACCACCTGTCCTCCTCCTCCTCCTGACCTCCTCCACTGCTTGTCCTCCTCCACCGCCTGTCATCCACTGCCATTCCGACACCACCTCCTATCCTCCACCGCCTGTCCTCCTCCACCGCCTGTCCCCCTCCACCGCCTGTCCTCCACCGCCTGTCCTCCTCCACCGCCTGTCCCCCTCCACCGCCTGTCCCCCTCCACCGCCTGTCCTCCACCGCCTGTCCTCCTCCTCCTCCTGTTCTCCTCCAATGCCTGTCCTCCTCCACTGCCTGTCATCCACTGCCTGTCCTACTCCCAACACCTGTCCTCCCCCACCTCCTGTCCTACACCGCCTATCCTCCTCCACTTCCTGTTATCCACTGCCTGTCCTCCTCCACCGCCTGTCCACCAACGCCTGTCCTCCTCTACCTCCTGTCATCAAACCCCTGTCCTCCTCCATTTCCTATTATCCACTGCCTTTCCTCCTCCACCTCCTGTCCTCCACCGCCTGTCCTCCTCCAATGCATGTCCTACTCCACCGCCTGTCCTCCACCGCGTGTCCTCTTCCAACGCCCTGTCCTCCTCCAACACCTGTCCTCCACCACCTGTCCTTCTCCACCTCCTGTCCTCCACCGCCTCCCTTACTCCAATGCGTGTCCCCCTCCACCGCCTCTCCTCCTCCAATGCCTGTCCTTCTCAACCGCCTGTCCACCTCCACCGCCTGTTCTACTCCAACACCTGTCCTCCACCGCCTGTCCTCTCCAACGCCTGTCCTCCTCCACTGCCTATCCCCCTCCGCCCCTGTCCTCCTCTACTGCCAAGCCTGCTCCACCGCCTGTCCTTCTCCAACTCCAGTCCTCCAACGCCTGTCCTCTTCCACCTCCTGTCATCAAACACCTGTCTTCCTCCACTGCTTATCCTTCTCAACCTCCTGTACTCCACTGCCTGTCCTAATCCAACTCCTGTCCTCCAACGCCTGTCGTCCTCCACCTCCTGTCCTCCACCGCCTGTCCTCCTCCAATGCCTGTCCTAGTCCACCGCCTGTCCTCCACCGCCTGTCCTCCACCTCCTGTCCTGCACCGCGTGTCCTCTTCCAACGCCTGTCCCTATCCACCGCCTGTCCTCCTCCAACCCCTGTCCCCCTCCACCGCTTGTCCCCCTCAACTGCCTGTCCTCTCCAACGCCTGTCCTCCTCCACCGCCTGTCCTACTCCAACGCCTGTCCTCCACCGCCTGTCCCCCTCCACTGCCTGTCACCCTCCACCGCCTGTCCTCTCCAACGCCTGTCCTCCTCCACTGCCTATCCCCCTCCGCCGCCTGTCCTACTCCAACCCCTGTCCTCCTCTACCGCCGAGCCTGCTCCACCGCCTGTCCTTCTCCAACTCCAGTCCTCCAACGCCTGTCCTCTTCCACCTCCTGTCATCAAACACCTGTCTTCCTCCACTGCTTATCCTTCTCAACCTCCTGTACTCCACTGCCTGTCCTAATCCAACTCCTGTCCTCCAACGCCTGTCGTCCTCCACCTCCTGTCCTCCACTGCCTGTCCTCCTCCACCGCCTGTTCTCCTCCACCGCCTGTCATCCACTGCCTGTCCTACTCCACCGCCTGTCCTCCACCGCTCGTCCTCCTCCACCTCCTGTCCTCCACTGCCTGTCCTCCTCCACCGCCTGTTCTCCTCCACCGCCTGTCATCCACTGCCTGTCCTACTCCACCGCCT